AAGTTGCATTTTTTTTAAATATCTACTGTTAATATTAACAAATATTTTGTTGAGACAATGACATGTATTTTTTCAGAAAAAGAAAGATTTTAAGATAAATGTTCTGTCCTAAAATCTAAGCTGTACAATTCAATTGAATCATACTCTATATGTTTCAAAATAGTGTTTATGGTTTGGTATACAGAACGAAAAACAACATCTATTATTTTACCTTTTTATAAATTTAACTAAACACAGTTTGACCAATGATAAAATAAATAATCATAAAACATAATAATAATAAAATTTGCATTTACAATGTAAAACATCAATTAAAATGAAACAGATTTGTTAATGTTAAAATATCAATTATTTTAAGACAAAGGAAGTAAAATAAACATCACAATGCTTGTAATTTTCTTTATTCTACTCCGTGGTTTAACTTGTATGTTTCAAAGGATGCCTTTCAAAGGTTAGCGGAATTAAAAAAAAAAAAAAATACTGTATGCTGTGTGGTGCCGCAGACGAATCCTATGATCACAATTCATTCGTATTTTCAGTGTCCCTTCTCGGATGATACTTGGAGGAGTGTTATAATCAAACTTCACATACAAAACCCTCCTTTTAAGTGGCAGCAATTACTACTTTGGCTCCCAAATGCTTCTCCTAACAAGATTATCAAAATTGCTCTCTTACAAGGTTGGCAAGGAACTATCTATGAGGTATGGCGGGAAATAAACCGTAGACGTCATAATGGCCTAACTCCTCTGAAAGTGGTGAAGCTCATTTTTTCAACTCTGAAAATGAAATGCACGGAAATGTGCCAATTGGGATCCAAGTCGGGTAGTTCTCTCCTTGATTGTTGGTCTTATTCTCCTTAGTTTGTGGTCTGGTTTGTATCTAGTGCTACAGCTAAATCTCTTCCTTCTCTTCTCCCACTGCTGTATCAGTTGTTGGTCCCTCTTTCTTTTTCTTTTTTTTTTGGCTTTGAGGGATCTTGCTTTCTTCTTGTGACCTTTTTTCTTTCTTTCAATTTAAGAAAGCCCATGATCAAGGAAAACAACAATACTGAATCCAATGTTAAAAGATTAAGTGTAGAATTAAAATAAAAAATAATTACCATCTGACTACGGAATCCTAACCATTAAACTTGCATCAAATATACACTCAATGTTTTAAAACAGACATTCAACGAAATGTGGACAAGGTCTAGAGGGGTGTCTTTTTGGTATTTTCTTTTTATTTTCAAAGATGACTCAGCAATGAGTTTAAAGCCATAAAGTTTGACTCGTTAATCAAATTATATGAATAAACGCATCATTTATCAGTGTGGAGCGACGATTCAATAACAAAATGTCCGGTCCTACCTACCTGGCAATGGATATCGTCGCTTTTTTTTTTTTTTTTGCAATCAAATTATAAACAGATTAAAACTAAAATTTTTCCTCTCTTTTTCTCTTCCTTCTGACAGTGCCTTAGTGGGAATCGTATGTGGTGCCTCTTCGGTCTTCAGATGAGCAAACATCTAAAGCAGCTTGATATTTTTTTGCTTTTGATTTATGATATATTTCATAGTTCGGGAATAATATATATATATATAATTTACGCAATTGGTAACCTGTGAGCTATAACAGTGAGGTGAACGAGAAGGCATGTTGAAAAAAATGTATAACGCAATTGTCTTTTAAATCTGCATGCTTCAGTGTTGTTTGACGCGAATTCGAAACTACTTTGGAATGCTAGTCAGATCTTCGTTATTGTTTTCCATCTGAGTAGTATACAGACTGAAATGTATTAGATTTTAATCTTGATGAATCACATTATCACATAAATAACAGGTTCTTTTTTTGTGCAACTAAATAACAGGTTCTTTGTACCCGTTTTTCATGTTAAAACCACGTTAATCACATATATGTACACTATAGGCCACGTTCATAGTGTGAAGATTAGTTTTTGTATAATACAACATGAGTTTGTGTAAACACACATTGGCACCAGATAAATATACTATATTTATTTTGTAAAATTTATTTATGATGTGTTGTATCCCATTTTGTGCATCTATAATCAATCACGTATCATAATGTATAGTCTAAATTATGTAGTTTGGTAACTAATATTATGTCTAGTTGACAAGTTTACAAGCAACGTAAAGAAAACCTCTTCCCTCCGATCCAGTATACTTAATACTCTTTACACTACAAGAAAACATCATATATTCATACCATATATTTCATCAGAAAATCGTAGGAAACCGGCTTTTCCTATCAATTTCCTACCAAATATTTTTGTAGGTTCTATGCCGTCGGAAATTTTAAAAGGTACCAAAATTTTCGCGGTAGGATATTCGTAGGAAAGTACCTACCAAATTACTTCCATCTTCCTTCAGTTTCATTCTTTCTAATTTCAAATATTCCTACAATTTTCCTACCATTTGCCAGATTTTGTAAAAAAAAAAATTATGTTTTAAAATTAAAAATTAAATTAAATTTAAACTAAAAGATGAATTAATTATTAATTCAATTATTACTATATATAGAGATACTATATATAAAGATATTATATATACTATATATAAAGATATTATATATAGAAAAAAACAAAGTAATTAAAAGGAAGATGAAGCTCTTATTTATAGAGTAGCTTTCTCATGTAAATTATCTCAGATCATCGATGTGGAACAAATCAAAAGTTAAAATTTTCCTATCAAATTCCTACGATATTCTTACACATAATTTTTTGTCAAAAATTGGTAGGAAATTTCCTACGAAATATTTACCAGCCATTGGCCCTACCACTTTCCTTTCAAATTTTGACCGCGTGATAGGTTATTGGTAGGAAATATTCTTTGAAATTTGGTAGAAAATTTTCTACCAATTTCCCATCACTTTTACTTTTCGTCAAAATTGCATAGAAAATTGGTTATAAAAATTTCATACCAAATATTTCATCAAAATTTTTGTAGGAATACAAGATGTTTTATTGTAGTGTTAACTTATCCGAAAAAGTCCTTTTTTTTGGTCGTGTGTGCAAAATTTCATAATTCGATTACAGTTATTAAAAATTTTCAAGCTCGTAAAATTCGTCCGCAATAGCAGTTAATGCAATGTGGATTGGCAAACCATATGTATATACATATATATATAAATATATTGTTTTTAATAACATAAAGACAGTAATTCTAGACGGACAAAAAATTATGTAATTAATTAAATAAATTAATCAAACATCTTCATACAAAGATTTGATCATTGTTAATGATGAAAATAAGATTTGGATAAGATTTGGAGGGGTCGATGATGCTCCTATTAGTCTCATCTAATCTTTGTTCGAAAATTAATGCTCGACGCTTGTACATATAGTTAATTGAAATGTATACATAGTAGCATTATGATTTATGAATTTATGATAGCACATTATACTTATATATGTATATATATCTACATAAATATATATATATAAATATATAACGAAACACTAAATTAATTAATGTTTAATTAAAATAACCTGAAATTGATGAGATTTAAAAAAATATACTTTTGGTTCTTCGGATTGATTTGCCAACGTAAAAAACAAAGACATCATGTTTTAATTTTTTAATAAAAAAATCTGTATCATTTGTTACAGAAAATGCATTTTTTATGATGTCGTAAAATATCGAACATGTGGTAGTCTTTAACAAGAAATAAAAGAACATGTGGTAATTAATCAAGACATGCGCTCCTATTATTTTTCCTGCCCACCTATATTTCGGTCAAAAGCCAGATGTGTGGGGTAATGAATAATTTTTCTCTCATGTAATGATACATGCTTTTAAATTGTATATTTAAATATGATATTTTTTTATGATATCTAAAGTATCTAAATTTATTAAACGATCTTAATTAATCAAAGGTTAACCAAATCAAATCAACATTGGTCAATTGAATTGGGACCACTGGTGAATTGAAAATAATCAACATATTCATTAAGATCTGACAAATACTATTAATAAAAACTACAATTATAATACACAATTTTCATAGTTATAATTGAGAGTTGACTTGTAAGGCATTTATATTATAACTCCATAATTTTAATAATGAGATAATGGAGAATCTAATGATGCTAAAATTGCTAGCTTCCACACGGTCATATTTCAACCCGTTTAGAGCAGAATTATTAAAATGTGAAATTTTGGGATTCTTAAGACGACGAAGAAAATATTTTAATTGCATTTTCAAGATGAATATGCCATATAGTGAAAATGAAAACCTATCAAAAATCCTGACGGCCTTTTTTATAGCAAATTTGACAAATTTACTCCAACTAAAATGTCCTAGTTGAAATGGACTTATTTTCTTTAAAAATTTAATTGAGTGCATGGGCTAACATTCGAATATTTGAAATAAGGCCCAAGTATTGCAGCAATAGGTAACAAACAGTATGTTCTTGATCAAAGGAACTGGTAATATTATGGACTGGCCCAAAAAGGATGTAATGTGGACATAACGTTTTGTTTATGAATTTTTCGATGTTTGTTATAAAATTTATATGTATCTTCCAAAGCAATTGAGCCATTTTAAGAGCCACTTCAGCCTCAAGTGACCGTTGGTGATTCAGTTGATGAGCTGACATGAATTACTTCAGCCTAAAATTTATATGTATCTTCTAAACATACGAGCCTCTGAGGAAAAAACTATTGACATTGATTACTATGGTTAGGACTAAGGAAGGCGAAACCCGTAGCTGTTAAGTCCATGAAAATTGGTATTCGGAAAAATATAGTTAGCGATGTGTATTGGGACAATGAGCATATATATAATGGTTTGTATGATAAATATAAAGTGGAATTACAAAATTATCGAATCATGGTAATACTCTACGTCTCTACCTTAATAGAATTTCCGCATAATGATCATAAAACACTAAAAACTGGTTGGTAGATTGTTGACGTTTCATTTTTTACTAATTGCAACGAAATATCTCGAATTATTTTTGTTGGTCAAGAAATTTCGAGTTATATATATATGACGCTAATTATAGATATGATAGACTCGCCTATATTACGTATTTTCACTAAGATAGGAAATTATTTACATAGCCATGTCTTTACCAAACTTTCAAAGAGATAAACATAAGTCAAATTCATGTATACAACAACTCGAAGGGAAATATATCTGAGAAAACTTGTAAATCACCTTTACACCCCCATATTTATACATCTGTTTATAGTATTTCCGTTATATTTTTTTCATATGTGATTCAACCCCCACAAAGTAAACAATTGCGTTGGTCTCTAAACGTTTGTACTTCGTATCACCTAACCCATCCGTCGTGGACCTCGTGGTACGGCGACTCTAACGAGTTTGCCATCTTCTTTTGCAACTTAAGGTTCTTATAAAACTTCTTTATAAACTCCTCCGCCGCTTTATCCACCACATGATCATGATCTCCGCCGTCTTCTAACGGAAACGGCGAATCCGTCACTCTAAGCTGCCTCACCGCCGGAAACGCCATCAATGGAGGCTCTCCAGCCTCCATCTCCACGGCCTTCGTATCATTCTCTCCTAGCAACTCAAAAACCTTCTTAACGGCCTCCGCCACCGCGTCTTCCTTGTCATAACCGCTGTGGACGCGGCGTTTGCGTTTGCACATATAGGTAAAAGGGTCGTTTGTTGGGGTATTGCTGCAGGTGAACTCGTAGCCACGGACGCGTGGAGAGGAGCTGACGTCAGCGCTGCCGCCGGTGAAGTTAGATCGGCGGCGACGGAGGTTAGTGATGGCTTTGTTGCCTCTCTTGAGCATTAGGTTTAAGTCAAGCATGAGCTTACTTTTGATACCGGTTTTCAGAACGCAGAAGACTATCCGCACGATTTTCCAAAGCCTCTTGGCTGCGACATGAGCGTTTTGTTCCATTTCTGTGTATAAGCCTCTCTTTGGTGCAGAAGCTTCCATTTTAATATTTTCTTTGAGAGAATTTTTTTTGTTTCTCGTTCTTTTGCTTGTACTATCTTGTAAGGTTGGATTGTTATTGGAGGGAAGAAGTAGAGAGTATTTAAAGGATAAGGAAAATAATATAAAATAATAATATAACCGAGAAAAAGACGTAATAAGAAAGAGGAATAGCCTAAAACCACAACTTTAATGAAAAGATTTTTCTTTCTCATTAAGAGGTTGGAGTAGTCGCCAATAAAGAAGTCTTCTTTGTATGAATTAATTGCTTTAGTTCATATATTTAATATTTGTTTTTTATTAGAGCTTAGTTATCCACAAATCATAACACATACATATCTAACCGTTAGAGGGTAAAATGATCTAGAACTCTAGACTAGGCAACCGAACTGTAGCTATGGTGGTTATGATGTTTCAAAAGTGAGTTATGTAAAATAATGATAATGATCAGAGAGTATGAATTAAGTAAACCAACTATCATTCGTGAGCTTGTCATACGTAGCGAGTTTTTTGAAGAGTTTTAGATGAAGCGAAAAAATATCAGTAGATGTTCTTTGTAATTACGTTTACCATTTCTAAAATTTATAAAAGGAGAAATCTAAAGTGATATCTTTTTCAATAAAATATCACACATTTTAACGATACTGCGTTTGAAACATCATGCCCAGTATGATACTGGCACTATGGGACCCTGGCACTATCCAATCAAATGCAACATTAACTATGATTAGATGGTTCAACATTAATTATGTTTAGATTTTCCCTAAGTCAAGCGTATATGTCCTCCAAAGCTTTCTCTATTTAATAGGATATATTAGTTGAGTCATGTCTTAAAAGTTGATGGCAAATTTAGGCCGTTGCCGTAGGCGCTAAGGCGATCCAACAAATTAAAGGAAAGGACCTCTTCGTACGTGGCGATTAACATTTACTTTGTTGTCGATAGAAACTTCTTCATACGTGTTGCTTCACAAATGGAACCTTTCACAATTTAACAATTATAATTAATATGTATACCTTCAAATGGAATCTATACTAGTAATAACCACAAGCTCTCAGCAAAATGGTTTTTAGTCCATAGTATGGTCATTTACTAACGTTCGTCGAACATCCAAAGAGTTTGGAGTTTGTGATCCATGTAATTGTTTAAGTCTATAGAGGCTCGGACTGAATTAAAACTTATAAGATAGTGCATCTTTTGTATAATTAGATCCACAATTTTAATCCAATATTTTATATTTATCAATCTATATCTATATTTTAGCTGTTGTATGAGGTATATAAACCTTTCGTGGATTATCTAATTAAAACGAGTAACAATTTTTTTTTAAAAAAAGATCATAACCTTCTTAATTTATATAGTTAAATGAAAGCCTTCATTATTTATTTAAAAATTAAACTTGATTGTTGAGTATTAACCAAGTCGATGACCTTGAATGAATGAAAGAAATGACAGAGGAAAGCTGAATTTTGATAGTGAAAAAAAAAGTATCTCATTAACCAAAAAAAAGTAATGTTGATAGTTATAATTGTCAAGAGTGTCCTGATTGTATATCATTCCAATTATGATGTGTTATATCTTGTTTATAGCGATATCGATAAATTGTGCTCCGATCTTTTTATTCGAATTCATTTCGAATTAGCCAAAAAGTAAAAAGTATAAACAAAAAAAAAGTATCTCATTAACCAAAAAAACAAGTCATACGATGTCATATCGAATTATCTTCTATGCGTTTTTCTGTTATCTTTTGATGAAATTATATTTAGACTTATGAATTTTTCTTTAGGTAGTACTACTATTTTAGTAGCCGGTAGCCACAAAACTGAATCGAAAGGGACAGCACGTGTACGCCGTGAAGAAGGAACAATACGTGGAAACGACATGCGGTATCAACTAGAACTTATAATTGGCGAAAATGACACACCTTTTCCATTTCATTCACAAAACCATTCCAATAGTTACATATCATCTAATTACATGGTTGTTACACCCAAATATGCGGCCAATACACCCAATAATGAATAGAAGTTCTATAAAAAAACAAAAAAAAACTTCCGTCGAGATTAATTTTTTGTTTGTTTGTTTGTTACTTTAATCTTCATATAACCCTTGTTTTTAAAAACTAGTATTTTTTTTCAATTTCATTATTTCAATTAAATCCTTTTCAGCTCAATTATGTTGTACTATTTTAATTATGTTTCATTTTTGGGGTTTATTTAAAGCGGCTTTCTAAATGGGCCATGACCCTTAGAGCTTAGACGTGAAGGCATCTAAACTAATCATTGCCACCTGTCTCCATTTACTAATAAATTAATATGGGAATTCCATAACTTATTTATGTATAATATACCATCTTATATATAGTATTTTCTTTTGTCGATATTGTAGTATTTAATTAAACTTTGAGTTCCTTTAATTTGTCTTCTTTTATTATTGGTCTGCTTTTATTGGGTGGGAAGATTCTGTAGTTTCTGGCCTGGAATAAAGAAAAGGAAGCAATGGAGCTCTTTTTTTTGTCATTTTCTACATAGTATGTTTTCTATTTTGATCAATATAATAATTTGTGATTGGATCGGGTGTTATGGATAAATCCCTAAATCCACTATATTATGCTCCTCAATAATCTGATCCACTGAAAAAGAGAAAATATACTAATGAGGACTGTATCATCCATCAAATTCCGAAGTACTTAAGATCTTTTATATTCATAAAATAAAACGATACTATCTATTAACAGTTGAATACACAAATGGAAACAAAAATACATTGCAAAGAAAGTGGTAGGATAGTTATCCCACAAGGATATATTGTTTTTGCTTAGTAACATAAGTACATGAACTATTCGACCTCAAGCCCACTCTTCATCGATGGACTTCACATATGTATAGGAATTGTCTACACCTAGATATCTAAATCCATGAGACAATAATATTTAGTGAGTTTAAATTCACCACGTTTCGCGTGATGCCACTGCACTTCGTTGAATTCTCCGCCTAAGAGCAGTATATAGCATTACAAAATAGTGTAACTCTTAACTTGGACCTGAATTACAACAATGATTATACATAGTATATGGTTTTTTTTGGGATGTATATATATATATATATATCCGCTATACAAACCATTGGTGACACAAATACATTGCAACGAAAATTCTAAGATACGTTGACATCGGCATCCTAAAGTTTTGATGGTTAAGCACAATTTATCTAGCATATCAAAAATAAAATTTAACAAAGCAAAAACACATATAAAAATAACATCAAATTAGCTTATAATACCATTATGAATTTATAGTTATATTCACAAAGAGACCAATTTTGCCGTAACAAAAACAAAAAAAAACATTGGTCTACCATATAATGGAAAGTGCTTTATTGAATTCAAAATTAATATATTATTATAGTCTAACGTGAACCTTCTTTAAAATGGAAATAATTTTTTCTTGTCATTTTTATTAAAAAATTGGTGTAAATATTTTTTTTTTGTCGTCGGTGTAAATATAGTTGATCAATTTCTCATATATGGTAAAATTTATTTTTGCTAGTTTTGCGCAAAATTGCCTTTTTAAAGGTTTGTTGGGCTGAAAACTGATTTGTTAGGGTTGAGCAATGGGCTGGCACTGTTTTATTGGGCTTGATTTTTACTTTTTAATTAATTGTGGTTTTGAACAATGTTAACTTAAATATTTTTGACGCAAATGTTAACTTAATACAGTCTTAATTATTAAGAGTCTTTTTGTCCAAAGACGAAAATATTCAAAGTCAAAACACGTTCTAGTTAATTGTAGTCTAATTTGTTTAATTAATAACCACGGCACGTTTACGAGAAAAGTGTTACCAATTTTTCATGGAAACAGAGATAACATCGGTAATTGCATTCCATGCCAGTTTGTTTGACCACGATTTTGTGTTGTTACACTATGTGTATATAAATACACATATCCCTCATCCAACAGCCATATTCACTAATCACTAGACTCACACATTAATTAAATCTTCTTCTTATTTTCAATCGTTCTCAATCCAAAATCTAAAGATGGATGCCAAGATCACCAAGGATGTTGCAACCAAGAATCCTGCAGATGTGGCCGGTGGAAGCGTTGGTTCTGGTAGCGTTTCCGATGCTGGTAAAACTATGGTTGCACCTGGGTCTGGGGGAGATGTTCACATTTCGAGGGATGCTTTTGAGAGCAATCCTAAGAAGTTTTTTGATGATCTTCACAACAAAGAGAAGAAGTGAATCGTCTTCTAAGTGAAGAATAAAAATAGTAATTTAGTTTCTTAATTTCTGCTCTGTTACTTCTTCCTCTAGTTCAGCTAATGGAGTGAAGTTCAATAATTATCACAAATAATAAATAAGATTCGAAATTTATGATATCAATTTTCTTTTTTGAAATTTAACTTTACGCTCTTTATTTTTCGTATAGATTCTTAATGGAATGCTTTTATTCTATTTAGGTTTTTAACTATTATCATTCATATCACGTAACTACGAATCGCATTAGAAAACGGCGATTGAAGAAAACCTCGTACGTAGAATCATTATTTTTCCTATTTATGGAAAATTATATATTTATATATGTGATTTATATATATATATATATCTTCTACACAATAGACTAAATAAAAATAATAATAGTAAATTAAAAACGATACAAACCACGTGGAAGTAATTAAAATAAGTACTTAACCACAAATTACAATTAACTGGTAAAAACAAAAAATAACAAACAGTTTCCTAAAGCAAGGACATAGTGTTTGATCACTTGGTCATATCATCTGATAATACATCAAATGATGAAAGGCTAAACGCATATTCATCAAACGCCATACGTAATTTCTCTAGCAAAGTTTTTAATTGAGTACTTTGTATAGCATCATGAGCAATCAGCCTTGGAAACTCAATTTGCTGTTTTCTCAGTAGACTGACTGCTCGTGATGTTATATCATTCTCCCTAATGTTGGAATAACACATGGCGTAATTTCATTGGCTCAATGAAAACCGGCGGAGCCGAGTGCCGGAGCCCAATAGTCGGCGCCGTTGTCGCTGCCGACTTGGAGTGTGCAGGAAACTGGAACAAGACATAAACCTCGACTTCTCAGATCTTTCTTAGGTTCTTCATTTGCATTTTGATTGTCCGTAGACGAAGACGAGGCTCCTCTTCTCTTCATGCACTGATCATTTACGAGCTATAAAACCATATGATAAAATAAGAAATAACTTAAGCTTGATAAATTGATAACCAACAAACCAACACAATCTACCACGTATATAACGAGGAAACTAATAATGTAATACCATCTTTTTGAAATCTTTAATACGTAATAGTTTATACTTGTTTTTAAGTTATATCTTTGAAAAAAATTATACTCCATTAAATAGAAGAAATGAATCCTCAGACGAATGATACTATAATTTTATCAAAATCATAAATCCTCCAATTAAATATAATTTTTATGTGTGAAAATTACTAATCAACACTTACAATAAGACAGAAAGACACATAAACTGTACTTTAAATATGAGATTCATGATATTTTGGCAGGAAAAAATGAATTTTCTTCAGAGATAAGCGTACATAAAAGACCGCCAAAGGAGTTTGAAATGCACTTTAGTGAAGAAGAAAACCAAATAAGGAGAATATATAAATTCCATGGCTTTGTTGATTTTAACGAACTTTATTGGTTATAAACTTATAATAATGTGAGGTAAGAAAAAAAAAGCTGGCGACTCCATCTTTTAATATTAATTCAACTTTATCTTTAAAGAAAACAGTAGAAAAGGGCAAAAAGGGATAAATTTTTGAAACTAAAGCTGTTCATATTTTTAGATTTGGATTCAATTGATCCAATAAAAAGTATAGTGTATAAACTATAATTGTAAATAAAAAACATAAGCTTAAAAAATGGACGTACTTGACCAGGGTCCTCAGGAAATATGCAACTCCCGTCTCCTTGAAACTATTCATGAAAACCATAGTTAAGAGAGATCCATTTAACTGTTTTTTTTTTAACTTTCCATTTGACAATTCAGCAACGCGGAATTTACATTTGGAATTAATTACAATTAATAACTATGATGATGTGCATCTATATCAGTGTATCTATATGTGCATAAATCCAATATGTATAAAGAAAATTGGTGCTTACATGTTGTTGGTGTCTCATATTCCCGGAAGCATTCGTACCGAAGTATGGATGACTCAGGGCCTGCAACAGTTTAAAACATAAATACTTTATCACATCAATCAAATATTACTTATCATGGAGAGAACAAAACTTTGTACTGTCTTTATTCTCCCTCTCTCTCTCTTTTCATCATCATTTGAAATCAGTGAAATAATTTTCGTCGATCATGATTATAAATGCTAAAAAATGTCAACTGAGATGGATTTCCACTAATCAGGAAATGTATAGTCGGAGAACTAATACCAATTTTTTATAGAGGTTAAAGATTTTTATTCAGAAGTTTATTTAATAGAGAATTAAAACAAATAGTTTTGCAATGGAAGGGGAATTAGATGAAAGTATTAATAATTTCTTTCACAGTAATCACTTGGATTCCTCTGACGAATATATAGTTTGTTTTCTAGAAGTTAAGTATTGTTTTTTTTCAACTCTAGAAGATAAGTTTAGCATTGTTTTTCTATAACTGAAAGGAAACTGAGAATATTGAGAGTTTGGAAAAGACGAGTCACACCTCAATTTGACTCTGAAGGAATCTAATGTATCCAATAGCTTCCGACAGGACAGAGGCTGTGTCAGTCTGCAAAAGATGGGTAAAAAAGGAAGAGGAATGATTTAGAGTAACAAAAATAAATCTAAAAATACCTCCAATTTTAATGTTAAAAGGTTTTATCTATCATATAGGCGAATATTAGATGACATTTATGAATATGATTTGTTAATTAAATCGATCTTACCTTGCCAAATGGAGAGACTAGCTGATGAAGTGCTGCGATCCGGCCTCCTAGTTTCTCCTTTCTCACCTTCAATTATCACCAAAAGTTAATTAACATTTAATAGCATAAAGTAAAAGCTATATATATATATATGCATGTCTGGTTATATATATATATATATATTCTTTTAACTAATAACCATGCATAGAGAAAACGTGCTTACTTAGTGTAAGTAGAAGTGGTTTATAAATTTGTATTTTCACATATAATTAACAGCATTATATCATTGAGTTCGAATTCTAATACAGTTCTCTCCATATCTACGTATCAAAAAGTTCCAGTTTAAACGAACTTCGAAAGCTAAAATCCAAATATAATATCTAAGGAATATTGTTGAGACGTATTTTTATGAAAGAAAGAGAGAAAATGGAATAATGAAGAAGGAAGAAGAAGACAAAACAAAAAAGAACAAAATAGTTACAAAACACAAAAACCACACAGCTTATTCTGTGCCCATTCTGTTTTGTTTGCTTCTTCTGTTCTCCTTTGTGTTTGTGTTTTTGTTTTGTTATTATGATGTCAGGGAGAGTTTTTTTTATATAGAAAACGTTATATAAGTTAATTAAAGTTTCATTGATATATAATCAATTAGGTACCTTGAGGGTTGATTGTGACGAAGGAGAAGGTTGAAGCCTTGGCTTCTTATTAGTAGACCCACCAATCTCTAAGCTGTTACACTTCATCACGTATATAGAAAAGAAAACAAAGCAAAGATCAATTAGTCATTAATCAATAAAAATCGTAGCAAAACCTATTTTGGTTGAGTGTTGAATCTAGATCCAAACCTTGAAATAAGACATCGTTTGTCCTGTTCTTTTCTAAATGACGTTTTAGATTTAACCTTTGTCATAGGAGATGATGTGTTTACCAATTTATATGTAAATTATTAGATCTCATTTCCGAATTTTCTCTCTCTCTCTCTCTCTATCAATTTTTAGTCTATTAATTTCGCATTCTTTTTTTTTCTAAAAAAATTATGTATTCTATAAAATTATCAGAGATGCGGAAAGCGAATTACCTCAGAGGTTCGATCCGGAGGAGTGTGTCTACCCTCAGACAAATTAAGACCATTGTGATTGCTCGAGAAGTCCAGCATATTGTTGTTATTCTCGTCGTTGCTATTAAGGCTTGTTGTTGTTGTAGTTGTGACACAAGATTTATTAGGAGGTGAGTTTGGAGAAGATATTAGATAGCCATTGTTGTTGTTAACGTTATTCTCTTGTTTGATCTCAACAACCCCCATGGAAATTTGTTGGGGACTTAGCACTTGTTCTTCCCAATTCTCCAACCTCATTTTCCCTTGGAAACTATGGTGGTGGTGTTGTTCATCATGATGATTATGATGATTCATCATCTCCAATCTCTCTTCCTCGCCCATCATCAATCCACCCCTTAGTTCACAAATAAAATATCCATATTAGATTTACTTATTTGATACTGAAAATTATAGAAACACACACACAACGCTTGGGCTTTATAAAACTGATAAATTATAAGTATATGTCAGTAAAACGAAGATATCAAAATTAGGTTACAACACATGACCCAACAAAGCCATGAGTTAATACGAGAACTCAAGATCATTAGAAAAAAAAAAAAATTCGTTTCGGAATATATTTATATATATATATATATATATAGAGGGGGAGAGGGAGAGTTACAAAAGAAGTTGGCTAAGGCTCCACGACTCAGGAGGGAGATCATTGCTTTCAAGCCAAGAAGAGAGATTAGGGTTATTAGGCACAGACGGTGAAGAAGAAGACGAAGAAGAAGTTGCCGGAGATGGCAAGAAGTGTGGCAAGAGAGTCGGCATCATTCGTGGTCGGAGATAATTGTTGTTAGGAGTCATTTGTGGCGGCAACGGCCCCTGCTGATGACCTATTAACGGTGGTGGAGGCCTCATGCCGCCGCTTACGTTCCACCAATTAGGGTTTCCGGCCGTCATCAGCTGTTGAACCGGCGAACTCTCCAGCACACCTCTATTCATCACCTTCTCTCTACACACACACACACTTTCTCTCTCTCTCTCTCTTGATCTCTTTATGTGTTTGCTAATCAAGGGCTTTGGAGAAACTTTGAGAAGTGTTAGATTCTTTAGCTTAAGTAGTTTTAGTTTTCTTTAAGAGGAGAAAGAGGAAGAGAGAGAGAAAGAAAAACTCAAAACTAACTTATATTTTTGATCTCATTCATAAAGAAAAACTTATATTTTGATCTCATTTGTTATCATGTGATATTATTTTCTTAAAGTGTTTATTTTTTAATTTTGTCTTTTTTTCTCGCTCTTTTTTTCTTCTTCCTTTGATCTTCTTTTCTTTAGATTTATTTTATTCTATATCATATACTATTTACTTTTTTCCCATGCTTTTTTCCATGCTTTAGCTTTATCTTAAAGTGGGGCAGAGAAAGGTAGTAGCTACTTTTATTATTAAAATTAATACATGAGTTGAGAAAACAAGCAAGATTTTTTTCTTTTTCTTTTGAAGAAAGATAATTCTTTTTAAATCAAGGAAAAAGGATTATTCGAATATTTTATATACGGTGTATAACATTTTCAATATATATATTATTAAACAATGTTTTGGGTATATCACAAGTGTCTTACATCTATGGTCTATGCATCCGCCTTTTTCGTCGAATGTAAATTTACTTATCCTATTCCCCATCTTTAACCATTCTTGAAACTTATTGATTTCATTTTTAATTAGTAATATTTCTTCTTTGATGATTGATCTAACGGCAATTAATTAATTAACACGCAGTGTTTATATTCCGGACCAATACTAGGGTTTGAATTTGTATGTACTATCCAAGCTAACAATTTTTTCTCCCCTCATTATCTCCTACTATACTAATTTAAAACTGATACGTATTCGTAACAATGGAAATACATTTAACAAACTCTGTATTTAACTAATCGGATACGTAAAAACGATTCGTAAAGTTCGTATGCGTTTTAATTACATCAGTTGATCAAAGTACTCTCAACATTTTTCTTTAAAGTGTTACTATTTTTCTTCCTCATTTTTCGTTGAAAGGTAAGGTAAGTTATCGTCAGCACATGTACGTCTTGATATTATTTCATTGTGGACTAAACTCTCTATAAATTTCTATATGTTATATCTTTTATATTGAATAGTATTCCTAAAAAACATTTACCGTATGGAAGAAGTCAATAAGTATAAAATAAGAATTTTTTTTTATGAAAAACAAATTGATGATAAAACTTATGAAAATTGTGAAACAAAATACAAAAATAAAATAATGTTTTCCAACAAATATATAAATATAAATTGATGTTCCAAGGATATTCACTATAAAGTTACTGTGATGATTTTTATAAATTGTATTTGATTTAATGAATAGATAAGAAAAATTCTCAAATCAACTAAACTGTATCTTCAAAGTAATAAAAATAAACAATTATTGGCGAATGTATATATAACAAATAATCAAATTTAAGAGTTTTTCATGTTTTTTTAATGTTCATTCTCTAATAAATCATTTTATGTATTTTTTGTGTCTATTATTTTTTATTATATTGTATTTTCGGAGTCATGTAGTTATTTATTTATAGACGATAAATAAATATTTATGTGTTTACAAAATTTCTATAAAATTTTTTTTTTAATAAAGAGCGTGATTAACTTTGTGCACATATTGATGTGATGGTATATTTTTAGTTTTACTTGTAATGATATTTTATGTTTACATAAACAATTGTTCGTTCTTTATTCAAACCTGTTACAGTGGGGCAATTAAAAGCTGGCATATTTAAATGTGGCTGGCTATATATATATATATATGCACCACTAGTTTAATTAAATCGAGGACAAAATGTTTATTTTTTAGGAATATTGAATGTAATAAAAGTTGAACAAATAGATGTAATAAAAAAAAGTTTGCCACTCACATATAAGATGACGAGAACATTGTGTCATATGACGTACACAAATAGAAATCGTATTTCAAGCGTGAAGGAGTTATGAAATACAAAGCAATAAAGTCGCAAAAAAATGATGGGTGTTTTTTTTTTTTGGCTTGCCAAGAAGGAAAAAGACCAATATCTCGAAGGAGTCAATGTCCTAGGGTTTGGAGATCCCTAATATTCTGTTTCCCAGTGATTTCAATTTCCAAGAAATTCTTACATCTACTTGTAAAACATACTATATACGAGTCAGATTAAAATACAATATACTTAATTATACGTCTTTTGATATGTATCTAATATGTTACTATATGCGTAGTTTACACCTAGATTAATTGATGCGTGTAAAGAATATATTATATGTGTAGTTTACACCTAGATTAATTGATGCGTGTAAAGAACTCATACCGTTGATCTATTGCTTATTCTACTACATGAACAATCTCGCAGACAAAACCTATCTTTCCAATTTGATACATATACTACGGCCAATATGAAAATTACTTAAGAGATTTAAAAAGTGACTATACATAAGAATATAACTTGGATAAAGCCGCCGTTAGCTAATTTTAATCTTAAAATTCACTTGGAGGTAATGAGTTCGTTTATCCTAAAATAAACCATAGGCTTTTTTTTTGGTTAACGGACTAAAGTTATACTTGTAAGTTTTATAAACTAAAATAGTAAGATTTGGATAAACTCTCATGATGACATAATTGTGCATATCGTGCTTTATATAAGCCATGGAATTGACCCAAATCTTGATGTTGCAGCAAGAAAACGAAAAAAAAAAACTAACTATCGAGATAAAAAAAATCACCATTCCAAGTTTTTTTTTTTACCATTCCAAGTTTTTTTGACCCATAAAATAGAATACCAAAAGAACATTGAAACCGAGAAATCTCAAAATAAAATATCTAAAACAAACCCACTTTTTATTGGACATCTGAATTTATTTTTTATTTTGTTTAAGTTCAGGTTTCTTATAAATTTTATTGAATTGTAAATAATAATACTCTTTACTTCTATCGAATGTAAAGGAAGATTTCAATTCTTATGTAAGACTATGTAAGAGTAAACCATAGAAAAATCTTTCATTTGATGGTTGATGATCCGTCATACAAAATTTCCAATTTAATGCCTAAGAAAAAATAATATCGAATACGAATGCAAACTTTTCAGAAATTACACCATTTTGCATTTTAAGTCATTTGTCGTGCTCATGTTCATTAGATATACTACAACAGTCAAAAATGCTTATTATATATGGGCGATAGTATGTCAATATATTATGTGAATTTAATGATGATATATCAACAAAAAAACTTATATATCCATATTTACGAAAGGTTGTATAGTCGTGTAAAATAAATTGTTATCTTGTATGTATTAAGTATAGAAATTAAGGTATAGTTAAACTAAACATATTTGTATTGTTCTATGCAGGGGTTTAACTTTTTGAAATTAATTTCACATGATTAAAATTTAACTAAAATCTTCTTCGTTTGTTTCAGTTTAGTTTCGTTTTCATATTTTTTAGTATTAATTTTTTTTTTGTATGTATTTACAAAATTTACAATGGGAAATCTCTTTTTTTTTGACGTAATGTAATTAAATTCTCTTATGTTTTATAACCTATTGAAATCTTAAATCGATAATCTAATTTAAAAATATTAGTCTACAAAAATCCACGGAGTATAATGAATTTGAAGTTTTATATGGAACAATCTGATTCGAACCATATTAATTGGTCCACAGTCAAATTGGTCCTTCCGATTCAATAGGTTGAGTTTTGATTCTAACACGCTGCCAAAATCTTTGTCGGAGAGGATGTGTCGTTTCTTCCCATATTTATTCTCTTCCTAATTTAATGTTTTTTACTTCTTCTTCTTTTATCATTTAAATGCTTACAAACAAACACCAAGCACCAAATCCCTCTTTCAGTCTTTCTTGTCTTCCTCCATTATCACTATTTTTTTTTTTCAAAATTCGTAACTCAAATTATTGATATAGTACTTTTATTCATTTATATAAGAAGACTAAAACTGGTGGATAACAGAATCTAATTCGGATAAATTACATGGACCGATTGGGTATCAAACCAAATGTATTGGTAGTAATAACTCTTAGACTCACTTTTAGCTATGGTTGTGTAATACTTATGTACCACAAAGTGAATATTGAAAAAGTAGCTAAAAAACAAAACAATATATATATATATATATAATATGTGTGTATATTATGGATAAAATCATTTACTTACGTAAGAGATTTTCCAGACGTTTTGTGGGATATATGTATCCGTATGTCTATTTAGTTATGCATATAATTGAACAATCACAATCTGCAAGAAGTTCAAAACTAGCTTCTTTTCTCTTATGAAAAGTAAGCAATACTATAGTTTTGGAATAGAAGATAATATCTATAAATATTACAAAAATGTACGTAAATAGAAATGTATTAGTATATCAATCTAGAGAAATGTTAAATACGATCATTCTCAATCACTGGATCCATCACATAGATATTTTTGTGTTTCGTAAAATTACTTTCAAATAAATTACTAGGGTTAATTTATACCAGTCAATCATGGAATTTTTTAAAATATATTATTGGAAAATCAAACGCCTCTAAGTAATCAAATAACTAAAAAAACCTTTCTCCATGCACCATTATATTTCTAAAAATACTACTCCCTCTGTTCAGAATTAGTTGATGTTTAAGGTTTTTGCACATAGATTAAAGATGCATTTAATATTTATTTTTTCTACACTAAAAAATTTATCTATAATTCATTTAAATATTATTTAGCCAATAAGAAAACAATTTGCAGAATATAAAAAGTCAAAAACAATAAAAATTCATTAAATTTTACATTGAAAAGTGAGAACATCAAATAATTCTGAACAAAAAAAACCTCATAAAACATCAAATAATTCTGAACAGAGGGAATATATATCAACTTTGTATTTATAAATCTCAGCAAAATGTAGTTTCGACTTTTTTTTTGTATAAAGGACGAATAAATGTTCTTTGAAAAAAGACGAAGAAATCTTAATAAAAAATAAAATAAAAGGAAAAGATTACCATTTTTAAAAGGAGCGAAGCCGACACAATTGTCGTATTGGCACGATCTGTGAAAGTTACTAATTATCCCCATTAAATATAAGTTGCCGTTCGTCAATTTGTTTTCAGATGTGTAAATTTCTACATGAAAATGGACCGTTTCTACTTCTTCAAATTCA